TATACAGTGATCAGATTTCTGTAAGGAAATTAAAACAGTGGAGCGCTTATGTTACATAAAAGTGCAAAAACTTGTGTGTAACAAAGTGCAGTAAGGTAGCACTTATCTGATATTTCAATTGGATATATATCCGTCTTTTGTGTGAACCTTTAAATACAAATACAGTGCATATAGTGTAAAACCTTAATAACAATAAGTGCTTTGGATTGCTAATGGAACACTCACATTTTACTGAGCTATAGAACCTAGCTCTGGTATGAAGAACCGGTTGATCCGTTATGGGCGACCACTCTCCTTTTCAATATAGCACTTTCAGTTATTCCCAGAGTATCTCAGGATAAGTAAAATAGATAATATAGTGAAGTTCCACTTGACAGAAGTATAATAGTGATGATACTTATAATTCTCACAAGTGTAGACCTTGTCTTTTTCCTTTACACAGTGATTGCATTACATTGCAGCAGCGTGACATTTGGCGTATCATTTTTAATTGTTCTTATGTAATAATAATCTCTCGTTTCATGCCAGCCTGCATATAGTTGTATATTTCACGTAAATCTGCAATCTGTTAGCTACAATGGTGTCCTGATTCAACTTTGCCTTAGAGAACACTCATGTAAACATCATATACCTAGCATGATTCTATTTACACAATGCTCATCATGTCTTGTCTCTTTTCTAAGACTCATTGTTTGCCTATACTGCCATATAGACATGTTTTCCTAGCTTATTTTCCTCTGTTTTGCTATTTTTTAAAAACAATAAAATGGGTCTCTTATATTTGGAGTTTACTCCACCGTGCTTTGATACTCCTTTTTTTCTGTATTGCCTGATTTATATCCCTCAATAAAGAAGCTTGATCCACTCCTCCCCCCAAAAAAAGAAAAGAAAATGTGTTTCAATAAATGATTTGCTTCCATTATGATTTAATTTCCAGTAAATATAGGTAACAGTACCTTCAGCAAGCTTATATCTACAATAATTACCTGATTTCAAAGGAAGGATATGTTGTAACTGTTAAGGCCTAACATGATAGGATTTAACACATTGAGTGATCCAAAGTAATATATTTTAATGAAAATAGTGATACAAAATTGCTGACTTGGTGCTTCTTCAAAAAGAATTCAAATATTATATAGTGAAACAAAACTGCCCCAAATATCTATGCAGTTTGTCTATAATCAGGTTACACCTCACCATAAAAAATATATGTTTCAAGAATGCAACATTTGATTTGTGTTATGGTACACTATACATTTGTATTAAACTATACACTATACATCTATTTCTTTGTTTTATTTTTATATCCATAGTCAACAAGGGACTGTCTGTTAAAAGGAAATGGTTCAATTGCATATTTATTTTTTTGTCCCAATTGTGATCGCTCCAGAATGGATTGACCTGATTGGGTATCGCCCTTGCGTGCCGCTGTGATTCTCAGGCGGCAGTTCCCGTAATATGTCAAATGTCATGCCGGAACTGCTGTATTATTGCACAAGGCGTATGAAGTAAACGCGGGTTTTGACCTGCGTGGCTTACTTTCAGTGACAGTTCGGTGCAGTCGGTTTACAACGTGGCCGGCTTTAAGGGTGTGTGCGTTGTGTGACTGTCAGAGCGCAGGGGCAACTGACATAGCTTGCATATGCAGGGGCAGAGTTTCAAAAGCTGGTTGCAAATAAGGGAGGTGGGATTGAGCTAAATATGCTACGGGCAGAGCTAAATGGCCAGCAGGGCAGAGCTAAATGGCCAGCAGGGCAGAGCTAAATGGGCAGTGGAGCATAGATAAATGCAGGACGGATCACTGCTCCCCCAAAAACTATAATGTACTGAAGTGCCTCCACTCCTCCCCCAGTGCTTATAATGGAAAGAGGTAACTGTCTATATGACTGTCTGTAAATGTGTTTGACTGACTGTCTGCCTGTAACTGTGTGTGTGACTATCTGCCTGTGATTATGTGTGTGACTGTCTGCCTGTCACTGTGTGTGTGACTGTCTGTAACTGTGTGTTATTGTCTGCCTGTAACGGTTTGTGTGTGACTGTATGCCTGAAACTGTGTATGTGACTGTAACTGTGTGTGACTGTCTGTTTGTAACTGTGTTATGACTGTTTGCCTGTAACTGTGAGGGACTCTTTATCTGTAACTGTTTGCCTGTAACTGTGTGTAAGTGACTAAGTGTGTGAGCCTATAACACTGTGAATGTGACTGGCTGCCTGTAACTGTGTGAGTGTGTCTGTTTGCCTGTGAATGTGTGTGTGAGTTCCTGTAACTGCGTGTGTGTGACTGTCTGCCCATGTATGACTGTCTGCATGAAACTGTGTGTGAGTGAGTGTCTGCTTGAAAATGTGTGTGTGTCTGTCTATTTGTGACCATGTGTTATTGTCTACCTGTGACTGTGTGGATGTGTGTGTGACTGCCTGTTTGTAATTGTGTGTGTGACTGTCTGAATGTTACTGTGTGTGTGATTGTCTACCTGTAACTGTTTGTTACTCTCTGCCTGTGACTGTATGTGGTTGCCTGTAACTGTGTGTGGCTGCCTACCTGTAACTGTCTGCCTGTAGGTTACTGCCTGCCTATAACTATAACCATGACTGTGTGTGTGACTTTCTGTAATTGTGTGTGTGTGACTGTCTGCCTTATGCATGACTCTCTGCCTGTAACTGTGTGTGTGTGACTGTATGCCTGTGACTGTGCGTGACTGTCTGCCTGTAACTGTGTGTATCTGACTGTCTGCTTGTGTGTGACTGTCTGCCTACAACACTGTGTCTGCCTATATAACTGTGTATATGACTGTAACTGTGTGTGTGTCTGTCTGTTCATAACTGTGTTATGACTGTCTGCCTGTAACTGTGTGTGGCTGTCTACCTGTAATTGTATGCCTGTGGGTTGCTGGTTGCCTGTAACCTGTAGTTTATAATTTACAGATGCCTGCAACTTAAATATAAGTCCATCAGCTATAAAGATGGCATCTAATCTCATAGTAAAAATATAACATTGTCAAGTGAGTGATATTCAATTGTGATATATCTGTCTGAATCTCAATTGAGATTCAGGAAACTAAATTGAGGAAACTAAATTCTAAAGAGGTTGTGTTACCAGATTCTATAGATAATGCTATTTTGCATAATCTGAATATTTAGGGATATAAAAGATATATACATAAATGGGTTGTTGATCCAAGGAAAAACAGATTGCCATTATGGAGTCAAGGAGGATTTTTTCCCTTTTTGTGGCACAATTGGAAATGGCTACAATTGGGCTTTTTTCTTTTTTAATTCTTTATGTTTGCCGTGGTGATGATATAAATATATCAGTTGCACGTATAAACAAAGAGAGAAGACATGTACATATAACAAGTAATGTCTGGCTAAAATGCACTTTTTTTTTTTTATAGAGACAAAGTAGATGTCAGGATTGGGGTTCCCCCCTTGTTCCTCATATTCCCGATGAGTCTCAGCGTTGGGCTGCAGCTGTTTCCGCCTCTGTGCTGCCTTGCTCTGAAGCAAGGTCGCGTAGTATGGCTATATTGAGTGAAGGCGTGAGGAAGAGTTCCGTCCGCTTACTGCTTCTCCAACTTGCCATGGTGTCTCCACCATGTTCTGCCCTCTGCTCCGTCTCGCGTGAGAGACCTTTAGGAGTGTGGGTGGTCACTGCTGCTAGGGCCGACAGCTTCTCCCAAAAGGCGCAAAAATTCAGTGTTAAGCGATCCTGCAGTCGCCATTGCGCTTGCTACAATTGGGCTTTTTCCCCCCTTCATTCGGATTAACAGCATAAAAGAATTGGCTGCAGGGTTGAATTTGATGGACTTTATTTTTTTTTTCAACGTAGACAACCATGTAATTTGACAAAACATTACTCACCAGCAGTGCAATTTCTTAATGAAAAATTAGACCTAATAAACAAGGAAGAATATTTCTACCATGCCAGGTGCAGTCCCCTCTGTCTGATAAATCAAAGGTAATATTCTTTTCAACCAAACTCTGGCAAATTATAAACTGTTAATTTGAGAGAGTTTGGGACACATAAAGAACACAACATGTATTTTCATTTATTTATTCAAATCTTTACAATCACCTATTATATCAGAATTACACACATGATATTAAAATACATTTCACAGAACATTAATCACACATTAAGGCAAGATTATTATAGATAGACAATGAAAAAAATAGCTTGAGGGGAATAAAAATATCAGTGTTCAATCTGAGCAGCATAAAATGAAATGACATGTTTAGATTTTTACGTCTCCATTTTTGATATTTTATGGTGCATTTCTCCCAGTAAACACTATTGATGTATATGGTTTTGTCAAAGCAGAAGAGTGTATTAAATCTTATATCGCTGAGTGAGCAAGGTAATATGTGCTGTCATTTTGAATAATTATTGTTTACCTTTTATCCTCTTAATCTAAATATATCAGCTTTTCTTATATTTTCCCTGTACGTGGATTTCCTTTTTTTTGAGAAAGTGAATCCACATTGACTTTAGTAGTGGACTCTTTTTGTGAACTTAATTAGAGTCTGGGACTTACATGGTGCAATTTTTGGTATATTTGGGAGTCTAGCCAACTCCTTGGTTTTGCACCCCTCCCTGTCACAGGTACCTCATTAAGTGGGTTAATCTCATAAGAGCAGACATTAGGCTGTTAGAGTAGGACCTGCCAAAGATGGGGTACATTGACGTTGTGGCAGACTTATGCAATGTATGATTATATAATGTAACTAAACCCCCATTATTTTGGCCTAGATTAGGTGTTTTTTAAAAAAACGAATAAAATCTCAACATTGAGGTTGCTGTTTAGTGGATAGGTGAGTGCGTTGGATCTTGTGTATTGTATAAATTGGCCCCCAGCCAACATTTATGCATGTTCAGGTGTGTGCAGCCCCCTGGTTTCATATACTTACATGGTGTTTATCAGGATTTTTGTGTTATACTCCGAATTTTGCCAGGAACAGTAATGGCACTGTGAGGATACAACCCTGGCACCTGTGGAAGGTGTAGCTCTTCGGGCAGATTAATGTTCGTGGATTTCTTATGCTTACCTGCACAGGTACCTGCTATATTAAGTAATAAGACCCGGTACTTTGATTCATGTACCCACCGGCAATGCAGAATATACTGCACTGATTGCTCTGGTTCATATAGGATATTCTATCTACCTAGTCCACTGGCAATCCTCTGTGAGTAATTACTCTATAGTGGACAACAAACAGCAACACACTTTTTTTTGGTTCATAAACAGAATGAATAGCAGTTCTCCAAATAATAGATAAACAACAGTGACCAATCAGGGACATGAGATTAGTTAGAACATGGTAGATCTCAAACTATAGAGAGCCTATGGAAAACAGGTAATTCAATTACAGGTACACCAGACAACTGACAGTGTTATTAAAACTATCAAAATCTAACTAACAGGGAGCTTAATCAAGGCTTTTAAATGCCTAAACGTGACTCCTGCAGCTCCCCACAAATGTGGCTAACAGAGGAATTGAGTGGGAGCCCGTGGAAACCTGATCCAGGTCTCTCCGTAGAGATTTACCACACTCCCCATTTGAGGCCTAGCATGGAAGGTGGCCTTGTGGCCGGGAGAGGCGGCCGATTTCCTGACACAGGGACCGCACCGAGGAGCAACAGGCGCGAGACCCCGCAACCCCCCCCCCTCTGGACCAGTGGGGGTCATCCCGGTCCCCGCTGGGCAAGGTTACTCACCCGCAACAGACGAATCTTCTGCCGGAATTAAGAGCGCGCAACAAGGTTAAAATGGCCACCGAGCCACAACTACCACAGCCTCAAGAAGGCAATCCAAATGTGGAGAGAGTGCTTTGGGGCGCGGTTCGACCAGATCAGCGAGGAGTTCTGGCGGCGCCTAGAACACAGACCTTCCTTGCATGCCTTACTTGCTAAACAGGAGAAAGCAGCCGAATCAGAGGGCCACAGACCCGACTCTGGAACGGGTGCACACGGAAAGGCATGTCCCTCACACCACCAGAGCAGCTGGAAGAATGCCCAGCTAATGAAGCGCACTGGGACCAATGCCCAAATCGAGCGGAAAACAAAGACCCTCACTCCCGTGAGCGAAAGGATAACTCCAACTGGTGGGCTTGTGGCGCCGGTAGATCATGGGCTCAGAAAACAACCAGAACCAAGCCTGAACACACATGGACCATATGGAGACTCATGGAGGGACAGCAACAACAAGTTTATCATGGACACAGCAAGTATTCACTAATGATACCTGAAACAGACATAGGCTGACAGACCCCCTACATGCAATTCATAGCCCTCAGTCTGTTTGCATTATTTCCTCTTATTTGCTTTAATTTGTATTCACTCTGGCGACATCAAGATACCTGTCTCTTATGTTACCACCCAGTGGACTCTTGTCTCATGTATCTGAGGATGCAGTAATATGTCTTGTTTTATCTAATCATAAAAGCTTTAAAATCGCTGCCACATAATTCAACTATCTTAATATTATAAAAATATGTGCAGTTCATCTACATGCCATGACCATTTTTTACATCGTCTGTTATTACCATATCATTACCTACTGTTGTGGCACCACAAGCTTTATTGTCATTACATGCACAAAAAAAATAAAGAATTTATAAAAAAATAAATAAAATAAATCTAACTAACAGAAGGCATCAGTAATATGTAATTCCAAAGGGGGGAAACAATTAATCCAATTAACAGACCACACTCTCTCTCAAAAATTGTGTACAGTGGGTGTGCCCGTACTGCAGGGGGTAAAACATCAACCATTGTCTCTGAGTCGTTTACTGTGACACAATGTAGTCCTGCAGAGACTGCTTTACCTCTAGCATTCTGTTTTGTACATAAAGTAATAGGGGAGCATAGTTATGGTCCGTGACATGTTTGGCAAAACAAGGGACAACATAGGCTTGACACGATGACAGATCAGTCAATTACAGTTAATATTTGTTTTCTATATATTCTTTGTTAAAGAGGAATACTGAGTTTCCCTTAAAGATTGTGCAATTTAAATTTATACATTAGAACAACATATTTCTACAGAAGATCTCTAGAATATGGCAGTCCTGATGGTTCTGCTTTGAAAAAATATTTTTAAATAGTTTTCCCCTACAACATATACATTTGATAGAAAAACTGCTAGTAAAATGTATAAATAAAATCTTATGCTTAGTCTAATGACCATAAGTGGTTTGGGGCATAACTTATGCCCTTGAAGCTCAGCCACCCCTGAGCACCAGTGATACACCTCTATCCATCTATATTTCTTATTTTCTAGATATGACCTGTAATACATTTCTGTGTTGGGCCTGGTTGTACCCTGATCTTACAGCAGAGCTACTGCTGAGCAACGGATGTCATAGGCGTGCCACACAACTTTATTTTTTCTGTGTTTGTTTGGAATTCAGAACAGGTTCCTTTTGGGTTGAGCACCCCGCCCCCCCCACTTTAGGTTCCCCTTTGGAGCAGACCACAAGAAACCATAATCTGAGGAGAGTCTCCGGTAGCAAGTTTAAGCAATGAGTATTGCAGTGAGCATGTTTATCTCCCATGTTAATATTAGCGCAAGACCTACTGATATTGGCAGTGGTGGAACTACCACATACTGAAGAGGGCCCACCGGATGACCTGTGCATGTAGGGCCACGCAATGGGCATTTGTCAGCAGTGGCCCAGTTGGATGCTGTGGCCCTTTAGCTTTGCGACTGGGCCCTCTTCTTTTCAGCAGCCTGGAAGGAAGTGACAATCTGTCACTTCCTCCCACAGAGACCGGAGCCACATGGACAAAGCAGAGAGGAGAAGTCTGCACGACAGAGAAGGACTAACTCACAACTACCTCAGCCAACAGGCTGGACCCCAGGGAAGTCACCTTCCAGCACCACAAAGGTAGGAAATTAGAGGTTGGCTATACGTGTGTAAATTTTGATCTGCATTTACATCTTGTGTGTGTCTGTCTGTGTGTATCTGTATGTCTATTAGTGTGTGTATATGTATGTGTGTGTCTGTGTGTATCTGTATGTCTGTCAGTGTGTGCTTATCTGTATGTGTGTGTCTGTGTATCTGTATATGTTGTCAGTATGTATCTGTATGATGCCAGTGTGTTTCTGTATGTTGGTGTGTCAGTGTGTATCTGTGTTGTCAGTATGTGTATTTGTGTATCTCCATGTGTTAGTGTGTGTATCTGTGTGTCTTTCTATCTGTGTGTCAGTATCTGCATGTGTGTCAATGTGTTTATGTGTATCACATTGTGTGTGTGTGGCAGTGTATGTGTAAATGTGCATACATCTCAGCATTCAAATGTCAACACTATACACAAATACATCCCTGCATTCAAACATCAATACCAAATACAAACACACTCCTGAATTAAAATGTCAACACTACATACAAACACACCTCTGTATTAAAAATTATATATAAAATCACCCCTGCATGCAAAAAACAAAACTACACATAAATGCATGCTTGCATTCAAATGCCAACACTACATACAAACACACCCCTACATTCACACACACATACTCCATATAAAAACATGCTTACATTCAAACACACAAACACTGCTCAGTGCTAAATACAATCCTGCAAGCATAGTAAAATTATATATCTCTAGTTGTCAAAACATTGTGGGAGATGAACAAAAGATGAGGATCTACCTTTTGGCCACCCTTGCGATTGGGGGGAGGGGAGCCTAAAAAATATTTTGCACCAAGGCCACTGGATATTGGGGTACTGTGACGAAGTAGTGGGCTGAACAGAATATGGCCAAATTGTGTAACCAAATACCCATATTTGTTCACTAAGATGATTTTAAGTAATCTTGTAAGAATTAAAACTGTATATTTTCTTGTGTGTGCACTGTTCCTTAAGCAGTATATTATATATTTTGTCCTTTAAAGCAGCACCACTGTCGATAAACGCATGTTCCGAGTGTGTCCCCTTTTCCCTTTTTACATTTTTTTTCCAACATTTTCATTATTTTTTTAAAATAAATTCATATGTCAGTTTTAAACAATCGGATTCTAAAGGAGTGAATATAGAATTATCATTTACTTTTTTCAAACTATGATATAATTTCTTTTGCAGTATTATACAGTTTCTATCACTACATTCACGTAGTGGTGCAGTTGATTTCTGTTACCAATAGATGGCAGTAATAAACAGTGTACCTATTTCACTATTGGATTAATTGTGTTTATGTATATTTGTGCATTTTGTAACTAATGCATTTTGTAACGTGTGCGTAGCACAGATTACCTTACACTAGTGAAGAGCCATGGTAAATGGACTAGTACTTACGGGAACATTAAAACAGAAGGTAGTAGCTAAAGTCGACGTGATTTCTATGATGACACACATAAGCGTATTTGATTTTGTTCAATAAAGTACAACTGTCATGTCTGTGGAAGTGACAGCTCCCATTCTTTCAACCCGGTAAATGCTATTGAAGTATTTACTGAGGTACACAGAGCAACAGAAGTAATGGAAAAATACACATACCATTGCAGCACTTCCATATTAGGGGTAACCTCATTGCCTGATGATTCTCTGAGTGCTCTCATGGATACTTGGGCATCTACAGGAAAAAGTGGACTAGGTTGTTTGTTTCAAAGAGTAGCATGCTTTCACGCGACCAAGGGTTAAATTCATTTACATGCTATGCTCTGGTCATGCCTGGACAGCAAGGCATACAGTGTAAATTAAAAATAAAAAAAACACCAAAATCTCATAAGTGACAGATCTAACTTAATGCAGTGCTCCTTTTCAAATCTGTTCATTTTGTGTGCTTTTAAAGAAACACTACCAGCACCATAAGAATTTCATCTCAATTAAGTAAATCTTCGGGGGAACTGTCTGACAACCCAGGCAGACCCCCTGCAGGAAATCCGGCAATCCAGCTGATTGGTTAGATTGGCTGCAAGGGACTGCCAAGCCAGTCAGGTAGGTCACGCGATCGCAATCACTGCAGAGGGCAAGTATGCGGGCCAGAGGGAGGGCGTGATTATTAGTGCACACTAGGGCGGGATCATGAGGGCATGCCATAATAGCAATAAAACCCTCATTTTGTAAGGCAGCATAGCACACCCTGAAAGATATGTATTTATGGGGTGTAAAAAATAAAATTAAATGCAGATATCCGCAACTGGGTGCCTCCATCGTAGCTCTCTGTCAGTCATACAGAGAAGAAAAGAAATTAAACAATGTTTCTATCTCACCTCTTCATTTG